AAAATGCATCAAAATAAATACGCGTTGTTATTTTAAGTGAGAACTTTCTTATGGTTAAACGTCGGTTTCTAAGCTTTCATGCTATCAATATTTTTATATAGTTAAAAAAACACCGGTTTCTAAGATTTCATGTTATCTATATTTTCTTACAACAACAATTTGCTATTCAGAAGAAACATATTTATTAATAGTTTAACATAGTACAAAATTTGAAGCCAGCAGTTTCGTTGGGTCCCCATTATGAAGGTGTTATGTGTTGCCGAGAAACCATCAATTGCAAAATCTGTAGCGCAAATCTTGTCTTCTGGACAACCAACCATTGTAAGAGAAATGCTTACATATTATAAGAATTTTACCACTTTAGTGATATTAACAGAGAATTCCAAAATTCAGCGTTTTACAGGCAGCAAATATGTCAGAAATTATGACTTTAGTTGCAAGCTTCGTGGAAATCAATCGGTTAGAGTCACGATGACAGCTGTTCTTGGACATCTGTTGTCAAGCGATTTTTCTTCCGAATATAAATTATGGGATAAAGTATCTCCTCTGACACTGTTTGAAGCGCCAATCGTAAAATTTGTAACAAAGGTAAAATTACTGGTATTGGTCGGTTTTTGGAATTCTTTGGGTAAACCATCTTCACCTATGTTAACAGGATAACGAAGTCGTACGCAAAAATATTATGACTGAGGCGCGTTCATCCGTTGAAGTAATGATATGGACGGATTGTGATCGTGAAGGTGAAAATATTGGCGCAGAAATTGTTGAAATATGTCGTGAGTCAAACCCAAGTATAAAGGTGACAAGAGCAAAATTCTCTGCTGTAATACCCCAGTGAGTTTTCGGATAATTTAGGAGTTATATGTTGCCTAAATAGATGTGAATACTGCAAGTATTTGATAAAATTTTATGCTATAGACAAATACATCATGCATGGCAAACACCTACAGACTTGGATTATCGACAATCAAATGCAGTCGACGCTAGGATGGAACTTGACTTGCGTGTTGGAGCTGCTTTTACTCGATCACAGACATTAGCCCTTAGAAATCTTTTTCCGGAACTCAGTAACAACGTGATCAGCTACGGTAAATACGAGATTAGATGTTCTATTGTTAGGAAGTTGATTCTACTAATGGAAATTGACTGATCATTTTTATGGGTTGTTATTATCCAGGTCCTTGTCAATTTCCAACTTTAGGTTTTGTTGTTGACCAATACTTCAAAGTTCAAAATTTTGTTGCCGAGACTTTTTGGAAGATCTATGTGGCACTAGAGAAGGATGGCGATGTTGTTGAATTTAATTGGGAAAGACGTTGCTTATTTGATCGTCTGACATGCTTGGTAATTTATGAGCAATGCGTGGAGAATCCCTTAGCAACGGTTGTTAAGGTGACGTCTAAAGAGGTAAAAAAATGGTAAGAAATTTTGTTAATTGACCTGATAGCCTTTTTAATTTCGACTAATTAAATTTTATTTTCCGTAGGAAACCATGTCCATTAACTACAGTTGAACTCTTGAAAGTCGGTTCACGAAGTTTACACATTGCGTCTGACCGAGTTATGAGTGTAAATTTTCTTTGGCGAGAATATGTTATTGTTCTTCGATCATACAGTTATTTGGATTGATATTAACGATCACTATACAATTTTTATTATTATAGATTGCCGAGAATCTGTATAATAAAGGTTACATAAGTTACCCAAGGACCGAAACTGATCAATTTAACAAGCAATTTGATTTCAATGCTTTAATAAAAGAGCAGGAAAAAGATCTACAATGGGGGGACTTTGCAAAAAAGTAATTTGTCATACGTTAAAGCATATATTATGATTTTTTTGAGACTGTTCGTGACGTTTTCTTGATTAGACTTTTGGACGGTGGATTCTGTTGGCCAAGGAATGGAAAACATGATGACTTTGCACATCCTCCGATTCATCCAACCACATACACTTCTGATTTGTCAGGTGACGACAAAAAAATATACGAATTCATTGTAAGACGTTTTTTGGCATGTTGCGCCGACAATGCTATAGGAAATGAAACAAGTGTAGAGATTAAAATATGGGAAGAAACCTTTACCGTCAAAGGTATACGATCTTTGATTTTCATTCAGAATTATGTAAACTATTTGTCCAATATCTCATCTTCTATTCAATAGGTCTTGTGGTATTGGCTAGGAATTACTTGGATGTTTATCCGTATGATAAATGGAATGAATGTAATTTACCAAATTTTCAGCAAAATGAGACGTTTATCCCAACAATATGTGAAATGCGCGAAGGATATACAACTCCTCCAGAATGTTTGACGGAGGCTGATTTGATTAGTATCATGGATCAAAATGGAATTGGTAAAATTTAAGAGAATAAACATTCATCCCTCAGAAATCTGAGTAAGCAAATAAATTTGGACTATAACTTTATGATGCTAGGTACCGACGCCACTATTCATGAACACATCGCAAAAATCATAGAGCGTGACTACGCTAAAAAAGAACAAAGAGGCGGCAAGACATATATAGTTCCGTTGAAATTAGGTATCGCGTTAGTTGAAGGGTATGATTCTATTGGATTTGATTTGTCACTTTCTAAACCATTTTTGAGAAGAGAAGTAAGTAGAAATTAATTTTAAGCCTATTCACTCATTTTATTTATTTACTTTTTTCTTACATTTTACGCATTGAAATTGACATTTAGATGGAATCTAGCCTAAAATTGGTCTGCGAAGGAAGACAACAAAAAGAGGATGTGGTTAGGAATAGTCTTACTAAGTATAAGGATATGTTCATCAAGACAAATCAGAATGCTGAAAAATTGATTAAGGTACACTTATTTTGAAAAAAAAAAATGATTTTTTTTCTGCCTTGGAATTAAACATGGTACAATTTGTACATTATAGGTCATATCCAAATATTTACAAATTGTCGATGAAATTAATCTTGAAGTATTCAGGAATATGTTGGTGAGTTAACTTTATTCTATATTAGTATTTTCAAGTTTCAATATTTAATTTATTACATTTATTGAAGCTCGAAGATCATCCCGAACCAACTCGGCCCATTCGAAAGTGCTTTAACTGTGCAAGACAACTAATAATAAAATCAAAACAAAATGGCGGATGGATGATAGGTCAAAATATATTTGATATTTCGTTGTTATATATCAGAGCGTGGGCGTCATTTTAAATTTTAATTATCCATAGGTTGTCAAGGATATCCCCACTGTAACGCGGGCATTAAAGTTTCAGAAGCGGTTTCCAATATTGTGGTTTCGTCGGATAGATGTGACCGCTGTTCGCAAACTCCAGGAAGTCTATGTTTCAAATTAAAAGCTAAGTTTGTCAAGAGTAAAATTCCATCTTGGATTCCTGAGGAAGTATGTTTCCGCCAAAGCGTTACAAATCCTTCGGTTTGTACAATTCAGTTAATTTTCTGAAATTATTATTAGTATTTAGGATGCGTCGGAGGCTGCGATGATTTCTTCAATGAATACTTTACACCCATCAAGTCAAATCCGGTGAAACGTATGCCTCTTTCGTCCTTAAATCAAAATAGTCAAACTTCTGTACGTTAAATATTAGACACCACAATTTAATATTTGATTTCCTGA